TGTTTGTTTGTTTGTTTGTTTTTTCTATTAAATATGCAGCCTCATTTATAAACCAGCTTACATTCTGATAAGAAGGGAAAATTTTTCATGAAGAATGAACTGAAAATAGCTCTAAAGATGTTCAGAAGTCACAACTACAACTCTTATTGGGTCGCAACATCAAAAGTTGCTCTGATTACAGTAGCCTGGTGCTTGCAGTCTGAGAAATTCAATCCCAGCTGCTTGTACACAGATACATGTGTCTGTGGGTGAGAATCTGAGCAATGGTCACTCTCACATCCACTCACAGGTCCCTCTCTGCCCTATCCTCACTCTCAGTCCCACAAACATGGCCCTGGAGCACACATGATTACATTTTAAGAGCACATTGGTATTGGACACAAAATTAAGGGCCTCTTAATTTGCCTGTTAAGCATAATTTGAAAACATCTACACAAGTCTGACATCATTTGGGAGGTATGTTTCATAATAAATGTGGCAGATGACTCCTTTCTGAGATAGATGCTCTTTTGACTCTCTAAATCTCACTGAAATGAAAATACCAGAACACACACACACACAGACTCAAGTCAAAAGTGTCTCTTGCCTTTTTATCCCTATCACACGTGATATCCAGACAATGTGAGGGGTCTTCAAAAACGTTCACGGAAAGATTCATATTATCTTTTAATTCTATTTTTCCAGGAACTTTTTGAAGCACCCTTGTATGTGGATACTGCCTACAGGGCATTAAGCGATCAGCTGGAGGTGGATAGTCTTTTTGTAATTGAAACATAATTGTACATATCTGTGGGGTACAACGTTGAAAGGTGGATACTTTGATTGTCTAACTGTCCTGGAGATGGGAACTGGAGGGTCTGTTCTGTGCCCATTGGTCCTCATGTGTGCAAACACCCACTGGATGTCCAGCTGACACTCCAGGAGAGCTGGTTGCAGCTGCGGCCTTGCCAGGAACAAGCACCGGCCTCCAGGAAAAGACGGGCTGCTTCCTAACACAGGATGCATGGAGTTTTTAAATCTCATTGGGATTATGCTTCCTGCCGGACACACTTGTGAAAAGACGCATCAACAGTCAGCTCTCTGTTCAGAGGTGCACGTGCCCAGTGGAGTGGGACTTCGTGGGATCCTCTCACCCTCGGCTCTTATTCCTCAACCAACCCCAAACTCTATCTTCTGGCACCGACAGGGAATAAAGAAGACTTTGCACAGAATGGAGGTGGAGAGGCTCCGGAATCAGCCCAAATGATAGGCGAGACATCGTTCCTCTCTCAGCCCTGGGGTGACTCTGCCCTGGCTGTGTGCCCCTCATTAGGCTAACTCTTTACCAAGGATTCAGCTCCCACTCTTTTTTTATTTTCTTTAGTTGTGGTAAAATATACACAACATTAAACGTGTCACTTTAACTATAAGTAAATGATTTAGTGACAATCAACTTCCACTCTTTTGATATCCATTTACTCATCCAAAAATATTTACTGTGTTAAACACTGTGCTAGGTTCTAGGAGGTACACTGGTAATGAAAACAGACAAGGTCTCTGCCCTCAAGGAACGAAATTCTTTGTATATAGAGTGGAATGAGGTGGGGGAACGCATGATAGATGAGCAAACAAATAAAATGTGTGCTGAGAAGGTGAAAAACTGGTGCTCAGGATTAACGGGGGAGGTGACCTGAGGTGGGTATGGAAGTTGCTCGGGGGATGGACATTCAGCTTCTTTAACCTCCCTCCACCTCTCTCCTGTCTCTCTTATGCTGGCTTCATGGGAAACAATTTGATCTTCTTCTGTGTCTTTTTTTTTTTAATTCCTTACCATAATAATTGACATATTGTCCATTTTGTAATATTTTCCCCCATATTATCAACTTAGGATCACTCCTACGTGTCGTTTCTTTCAAATAAAATTGCTTTCATCAAACACCAACCAACTTTTCTCTCCATTTTCTGAATGAATCATTCATCAGACTAAGTTTTCTAACACAAATTAAAAATCTGGTTTTCATTTTGATTACAAGTGGGTTGAATTTGAGATTTCATTTGGTAGTTACTGTCACTTCCCGGGGAGTGCTCGGGCACCACTTAGGGCTCATATATCTGAGAGGCAGATATTCTCCAGAGACTTATTCAGCCTCCAGCATTCCAAATCCCTGCAGCTGACTAAGCTGTCTTACAGTGTGTAGACCACCATCTAATCGAATCAAAGAGAGCACCAACATGTCTAGAATATCCAGCTCAGACCCAAATAATGGGGTCACACACACCACCCCACTATCCTCCCCCTGCCCCCGCCCCCAGTGGCTCCCACACGGATTGGAAAATGACTTAGTAAATAGACATCCAACACAGAGCAACGAGTCACATGTCCCCTGATGCCTCTGGTCTACAAATGATAGAGTTTCTGAGTGAGTCAAAGAAGGGAGTCTCCAGATGACCCTGTGCATTCTCCTTCGGTCAGAATGTGCCGGGACATATAGACAGTATTTGATACTCAAGTAGACCCACAAAGGGCAATTTGGACTTGAAATGGAGCATGTCGATTATTTGAAGACTTTTGAGAAAGGACTGATATTTCTTTTAGATGAAGATGAAATTAGCCAGAAGCCCAAAGTTGAATTTATCAGGCCCAGTCTCTTTTGGGAAGGGAGACTCTCAGATAAGCAAGCAGCAGGTGGCGCTGTGGGAGCACGTCTCTATTTGTAGGGACCTCGGCCCAGCTGCACCTCTTTTCAACTGACACCATTTGCTTTTTCCATAAGTGCTCACCAAGCGTGCCTCAGCAGGTGTGAACGACCTCGCACTGAGGGAGGGAAAACAGTAACAAAGCCTGGTCGCCCCCTCCTCCACCCACCCTTTATGTGGCGGGGTGTTTACCCAGCTCGGACTCAGCCTTGGCTGATAGGAGTGGGGTGGGGTGCAAGCAGGGAGCCAGGTGGGGGATCTGCATGAAGCCCCCCTCCACCACCACCACCAGCAAACAACAAGAGGAGAGGTAACATTGGAGGACCTCAGCCCGGAAGCAGGGTCCTCAGGAAGTGCATCTTAGGGGCATCACCCCCATATCCTGGACCACTGTGCTCCCCATGGGCCTCTGCACAGGCCAGGGCAGACTCCCCGGGCTTCGGGGAGGGGCATGACCAAGGATCCCTGGCTGTAATGCCGACGGGCTGCTTTGTCATGCTGCTAGCCTGTAGTGACCTAGGAGTTTTCCCTCAAGGTGACACCCAGGCTCATAGTCACCCTTGCCTGTTCTGTGAGTTCAGGACTTGTCACAACTGGGAACACTACAGTATGGTTCCTGAAGAGACTTAGCCAAGCTCCTCCACAGATCACATACCGGACCAACGAATGCTCAGTGTCCATCCGCAACTGCTTTTTCAGGCTCAGTCCTCCTGGGCACAGCTGCCCTCACCGTGGCTGGTACGCTGTCTGGTCTGGTGCGATGCATCTGCATCACTGGGACGACTTCTGATGGGGAGTTGAATCGGAAACTTCACCAGGCTCAGCCTGGAGCAGCAGTTTCGGGAACAGAGAGAAAAATATTTCTATCCTGGGCAAGTGCTGAAAATCACCAAAAAATCCAGTCCTGCCCCAGAGCACTGTGGATGCTGCCTCACTGTCTCAATAGCATTCAGTGCATCAGGGAAGAGGTGTGAAGATGGTCTGATTTTTATGCTCTTGGGTTACAAGGCTTTTGTCTTGGGAAGTTATAGAATTCTCCTTTATTAGATATTAAAACAAATGTAATGAATTTGAACTTGAGCGCTAGATAACCCATGCACACTGGTAGAAATTTTTTGAATGATACCTGTGGCAGATGCTGTTGGTGCCACGGTTCAGTTGGTGTGCCCATCTCCCAGCTGCAGAGTGCTCAGCTGATCAATCACACAGGCAGCCTTCTTTGGAGGTGTGCCGTGAGCCTCTAAGTCTGAAGCTGCCTCCTGAAGAGGTGCCTGGAAGTTATACCCACCACCACCACCACCACCAGTGAATGACTGATGCAGGGGTACACAAATCCCTCTTCCTGGCCTCAAAATGGGACACCCCCTGTGGTGCCACTTATGCTCCAGTGTTCCCCTTAAAATCAGGCTGGAGCCAGACTTTATTACTGTACCTTCACTACACTGCCGCCCTCTCTCCCTTTCTGGTTACTTTTGAGAACATTCCTCTATAAATCACATGGTCCCAAGTTCCTATCTCAAGCTCTGCTTCCTTGAGACTATACATAGGACAGAGGAGCAAGTACCCTGTCCTTGTCCTCCACATCAAAGACCATCATCACATGCATCGTTTCTTGTGCATCCTTCCAAAGACATCTTAGGCTTATAGCATGGCCCCTTTCATTATAAGTCTGCAGAGTATTTCACAGTAGTATTTTAACCAACGGGTCCCTAATGGCTATCACCAAGATTTTGATCTTACAAATAACACTGCAGTGAATATACTTCTGCACAGTCCTTTGGATTCATGTGTGAATATGAGCAAAGGATAAATTTCTAGAAGTAGAATTGATGTGTGTCTGTAATTTTCATTGATCATTCTCAGATTGTCCTCCAGAGGGATTGTACCAATTTACAATGCCAGCAATAAATATTGGATCGGAACATATTGTTGAAATTTGAGATTTTTCCAAGCTGTTAGATGAATAAATAGAATCTTGTTACAGTATTATTTTGAATTTCTCCTATTCTACTTGAGGTTGAGCATCTTCTCAAATATTTCAGTGCTCTTTATTTTTCAGGATTTCATAAAATTTGTCTTAAATGTCCAAATAGTACGTATTTTAGGCTTTTCAGGCCAAGAGTCAACTTTGAAGATATCACATAGATACTTATAACACAGTTTAAAATGTAACCATTCAAAAGTATAAAAAACACTCTTAGCTCCAAGGCCATGTAAAAACAGGTGGTAGGCAAGGTTTGGCCCACTGAATGTGGTTTAACAAGCCCTGTTTTATAGAGTTATCTGAAGTTCAGAAATTTCACCAGTGTATGTTCTTGGTGAAGATTTCTTTGGTAGGTGCTAGATCTCTTTACCTCATGTTGTGGCCTGAGGTCTTTCTTTGGATAAGAACATACATCTATTATTCATTTGATTGGATCTTGGGCTGTCCCATATAGCCCTGTGTCACAATCTCATCAGTTTTCTCTATCTTTTTGCTTTGAGTTTTGGAAGTATTTGAGTATCAGGAATAGACTCCCCCAAAATGGAAAATCAGCAGGACAAATGGGCAAGGCAAGCTTGTAACAAAGTCAGGAATAATCCAGTGCAGATTCATTGTAAAGGGTCTTAAAATCAGTGTTGTACAGACATATGAAAAAATGCTCAACATCACTCAGCATCCGGGAAATGAAAATCAAAACTACACTGAGATACCATTTCACCCCAGTTAGGATGGCTAAAATCCATCTGAATGATAAATGCTGGTGAGGTTGCGGAGAAAAAGGAACTCTCATACATTGTTGGTGGGACTGCAAAATGGTGCAGCCTCTATGGAAAATGGTATGGAGGTTCCTCAAACAATTGCAGATAGATCTGCCATATGACCCAGCTATCCCACTGCTGGGAATATACCCAGAGCAATGGAAAGCATCAAGTCGAAGGTATACCTGTTCCCCAATGTTCACTGCAGCACTCTTTACAATAGCAAAGAGTTGGAACCAGCCCAAACGTCCATCATTGGATGATTGGATCCGGAAAATGTGGTATATCTACACAATGGAATACTACTCTGCTATAAAAAAGAATGAAATACTGCCATTGGCAACAACATGGATGGACCTAGAGAGAATTATATTAAGTGAAACGGGTCAGGCACAGAAAGAGAAATATCACATGTTTTCCCTTATTTGTGGGAGCTAAAAATAAATAAATAAATTCACACACACACACAAAAAAAAAAAAAAACGGGGGGGGAAGAAGACTTAACAACTACAACTCCTTGAAGTTGATACGACAAGCAAACAGAAAGGACATTGTTGGGTGGGAGGGAGGAGAGGGAGGAGGGAGGGAGGTTTCGGTAATGGGCCACAATAATCAACCACATTGTATATCGACAAAATAAAAATTTTAATAAATAAATAAATTAAAAATCAGTGTTGTAATTAAATCTGGAAACAAACTAGATTGTTGAAGTTCTGGGAATTATAAATAAATCATAAATAAAAAAATTAAGTTTAAAACGTATTGGATATTTATGTAATCAATAAAAATTATAAAACTCAGAATTTAACAATGGGATAAAGAAGAGAGCTTGAGATATTAAGATATAAAGACCCTCCCCCCCAAGAAAAGTTGCCAGTAAAAGAACAGGATTTTATTAGTGGAAATGTACTTATGTTGCAAATAATTGTTTTCCGTAAATGCAGACTATTTCTTCCTCTCTCTTAGGTATAAGGAAACATCTCATGGTACAATCTTCTTCCCCACTGTCAGGAGCACCCTCATTCCTCAAGGAAACCTCAATGTCAAGCAGGAAAAGATTGCACTTTTGTTTAATCATTGTGAGGTTTCCTTACGTGTACATCAAAACGTTGATGCTCGAAGCTAAAATGGAATTAGTAGTTCAATATGCAGAGAAGATATTAATTTTCTTTTGACTATACCATTTCTGTTTATAACTTATCTTAGTAAATTGGAAGATATTCTTCTTCCTCTCTTTAAACAATTCAGCTTGTTGGTATTTTTTGTTTTATTTCTGCATCAACTATGGCTCTTTTTCAAATACTGTCAAAGATATCTCATGGCTATTGATTGATTAGTAAATTCAATTTTATTAGTAGTTAATTATTAATTTACAGTATTTCAAGCATGGACAGAAATATTTCCTCACATCTAACTCACAAATGTTGCTGATGCTTGCTAGCTGCATCTCTTACGATCTTAGCCAATAAAGTGGGAGCTCTGATTTTTCTGGACACCCATGTGATAACGGGAGAGAGGAGGTGAAACTCTCTAAAGCTCTTATTTTTAAAGGTCTAATGGGTTCCAAATCAGTTTCTGTCCTGTTCTGACAGGTCAACAGAGTCATGGCACTGTAAGAAATTCCTAGTACAACATTTGGGAAAATGTCTTTTTCCTTACCAGCGAATTAAACTGACTTCTTAAACTCAGATAAGTCAAGAGAATAATTAAGTTCAAGTTAGGAGTGTCTGTTTTAGAGATTAGGAAGCATACTTTTGGGAAGCNCTTAGTCTGTTTTGTGCTGCTATAACAGAATACCAGGGGTTGGGTAATTTATAAAAAAAAAAAGAAATTTATTTGGCTCACAGTTCTGGAGGCTGGGAAGTTCAAGGTTGAGGGTCCGCATCTGGTGAGGACCATATTGCTGCATTGTAACATGTTGGAAGGCATCACAGAGAGCAAGAGATCAAACTTGCAGCCTCAAGCCCTTTTATAATTGACATTTTGGAACCCTCATAAACTAATCACCTCTTAAAGGTCCCATCTCTCAACTCTGTTGCACAGGAGATTACGTTTCCAACATGAGAACTTTGGGGGACACATTCAAACCATAGCAGATATATAATGGAAAAACAACAATTTGGTTTAATAAACTTAATGTTTTACATAATTATTAAATAATATATTTAATCATAAATTAATAAAAAATAATGTAGCAAAAGTAATCTAGGTTAGGATTTATTACTACATTGCAATAAAGATTGAAAAGTGGTTGGGGGGTAAAGATTACTCCCTATACTCTAGGAAAGAGGAGATTAAAAAGTTACTCTTTTATTCTTGATTCTGAGAAGTTGAAGAATGTAGACCCAGGGATGGTTTCGAAAAAAATATAATGTCTTGCTAAAAATATTAACAAAATTAAAAGTAAGACATATACCTTTTACATACTAGAGTATAGAAAAGCTAAGAAAACAAAAAATGAGATAAAAGGAAACAAGAAAGCTTAACTATAGCAAAAATCCTATTGACAAAATAAATCAA